AGAGATCTTTGCAAATGAGAATACATCCGAAACTTTACTCACTTACCTTAACCTTTGACCATGCAAGGATGAATGAACGAATTTCCGCAAAGATCTTTGAAAAGGATGGTAAACAAAAGCCTTCCTGCCGGCAATTTACTACAGTTATGCTTAAAACTTCGCCCAAAAAATCATCGATCCGCATTGGATCACTTGGATTCTGCGAAAAGTGTGAAACACATCTCAAATTAGTTTTTATAAAGATCCTTGTTAGTGAATTTGAACCCGAAACTTCATCCACAAGTCTTTGAAAACTATTCCCATCAAAGAGGGATTTGTTTTCCGCAATATTTGAATATAATTATAAATATATTATTTCTTGAGCTTCAGCTCTCAAGTTATATTTACATAAATATTTGAAAATTTGGAATCAATCTATTCCGCCCATTTTAGCCTCGTGGTGTGAAACTTAAGGCCGGTAAAAAAACTATACATCTCTATATATAAAACTGTTTGTCCTGACTGACTGACTGACTGACTGACTGACTGACTGACTGATTGGTGATCAACGCACAGCCCAAACCGTAAGAGCTAGGAAGCTGAAATTTTCACTGTAGATACCTTATGTGATGAAGGTGCACGTTAAGACGGGGTTTCGGGAAATTCCACCCCCAAGTGTGGAAAAATCGCGAAAAACGTTTGTATGTAACTTTTTTGTTTACGATCCGATCGGCCCCAAACTTATTTTCAAAGATCTTTGTTCAAATTCATTTGAGGGTGTTTCCCACTTTTCGGAAAACCCATTCCTCCTTGGTGGAAATGGAGGTCAACGATTTGGTGGGTGACGTTTCGCGCTCAAATTCATTTCCAGTGATCTATATGAAAAATCATTTGAGACGTGTTTCTCACTTTTCGCAGAATTCAAACTTCATCGGGGGGAATGCGATTTAAAGATTTTTTGTGCGAAGTTTTAAGTTGTGTCCGATTTGCTTCAAACTTATTTTCAAAGCTCTAAATAAGAACTTAATGAATACGTATTTCGACGCTTTGGAAAATTCCACCCGCAACAGTGGTAAATTGGCGGAAAACGGTTGTATGAAAGTTTTTTGTTTATCATCCGATCGGCCCCAAATTCATATTTAAAGATCTATGCTTAAATTCATTTAAGGGGTGTGTCACACTTTTTGAAAAATCTATTCCTCCTTGGTGGAAATGGAGGTCAAAGATTTGGTGGGTGACGTTTCGCACTCAAATTCATTTCCAGAGATCTATTAGAAAAATCATTTGAGACGTGTTTCACACTTTTCGCAGAATTCGAACTTCTTCGTGGGGAATGCGATTTAAAGATTTTTTGTGCGAAGTTTTAAGTTGTGTCCGATTTGCTTCAAACTTATTTTCAAAGCTCTAAATAAGAACTTAATGAATACGTATTTCGACGCTTTGGAAAATTCCACCCGCAACAGTGGTAAATTGGCGGAAAACGGTTGTATGAAAGTTTTTTGTTTACCATCCGATCGGCCCCAAACTAATTTTCAAAGATCTATATTCAAATTCATTTGAGGGGTGTTTCACACTTTTTGAAAAATCCATCCCTCCTTGGTGCAAATGGGGGTCGAAGATTTGGTGGATGACGTTTTGTGTTCAAATTTATTTCCAAAGATCTATAAGAAAAATCATTAGAGACGTGTTTCACATTTCTCGCAAAATCTAAACTCCTTCGGTGGAAAATGCATTTCAAAGTTTTTTTTGGTCAGTTTCAAAATCATTTTCAAAGCTTTTAGAAAACTTTGATTTTATAACATACGTGCCACGGGCAAGGCCGGGTTATACCCGCTAGTAAATACATATACATATAATCCTTGACCCCGATTTTCCATCCAAAAGGAAAGCATATATTCATTGAATAACATACATATGAAAGCACAAACAGGTACGCCGATCCACACTGTCTCTGGTTCAAAACAAACATGGTCTGCGCGTGCCATAGATTTAGCCATATATTATAGCCTTTTATCCATTTCCATCGGATTCAGGGTATTAAAAAATAGAACATCCATAGCAATAAAGGATTTTCCGCATAAATACGCATTTAGTTGATTTAAGTCGAAATGCATTATGTTCATCAGATATAATCCTTTGCGCCGGCTTTAGCCAACAAAAAATACACTCATTGACTTTTTACCTTAGTGGGGTAATTAGCGTTATGAAAAACATTAACAAAAAACAAATATAATACCTATGGGCCTAAAATCACGCCAGCACAAAACAGAGGAATGAATTAAAGCCACCATTTCATTCCTTACCGCCAATCGCTTAAAAAGCAGTGCATACACAGCACAGATTCAAATACAATCGCAATTTCAATTCTATTTATTGAATTCGAAAAGAACAAAACGTAAATGAATGTTAGTATGCAGATGTAAACAGAACTTCTTCTTCGTTAGTCCACAGGCTTTCGTCTGTGTTTCTTACCCAATCTTGATATAAAATATACTCGTTCTGTGTATGCAATACGAGAAACTACATGTCAAATTTGGCACTTTTAGATCTTAAAATACTTTATTGCGCCCCATTGAAAATGAGTAAAAAGGCTTTAATGGTCTTGTGCAATTGTATATAAAGCCAAAAATTGATTGTCATTGTATCGTGTTCATAAAAATATTGAAATCAATCGAGTACTTGTAATCGAAACATCGACGAAAACCCGTAAACATAATTGAGTCCCTTTTGGTCGTACTAACACAAGAGACGTTAAAAGTTCAGGTCTTCCAAAAGAGGTCGTCTCACCAGAAATAGTCTATCAATCTATTGAATGATATTGGACGATCCAAAAATGACAGTGTCAACTGAGCCCGAATGACATGTTACAAGAATGTTTACACATGAATAAACTATCCATAAGCGCAACCATTTGACAACTTCAAAGGAGTGGTTAGCGAAGTTCAGTCTTATTCCAAACAAGTTTTTACGTCGTTTCGTTACCGTATACGAAAGTTTGATCCATCAAAAAACACAGAGACCAAGGAACAATCAAGACTGCGGTTTTCTTCGGGTGAACGTGCCTCAAAGAAGGCCAAGGTGGGTCTGTCGGCAAACAAGGTTACGGCCACAGTTGTTTTTTTTGTGATGCACGTGGTGTTATTTACGGCGATTCATTTCAAAAGGGGAAAACGGTTACCAGCGAATATTAATCAGGGCTTAGCGACAGATTTGATATTTTCGTTTGGTTAATAAAAATTAACAAGAAAAGAGTTTACGAGGAAAAATCATTTATCGGTCGCAAATTTTTTTTTTTTTAATTGAATTTCAGTTATGATTTTTACACATACATGCTTTACGAATTTTTCTTTCGTTGAAAACCTATCGTATTTGGATTTGGAATCTGGGTGAGTAGTTTCACAGATACTAAGCCCTTGGATTTTTTCTGGACCCTTTGCGGGCAAAATTCAATTTAAATTTATTCCTTCAGTCATATGTAAGCCACACGGATGGCATCCACAATATTTTCCTGGCAATTAATCGATCTTTTGACCCAACCAAGAACATAATTAATGAAGGTGTCCATTTTGCAGTAATAATCGTAAGACAAACATTTGAAAAACTCACAAGCGTTTTAGGAGGAGGATGCAAGTCTTAAGCTGTGGGGGATAATAAAAGGATAGTTGAAATATGGCACATAGGACGATCTTCTAGAGATCCTACTAAAAAAATGGACTGCGGGATATATTTCGCTTGTTTATTTAAAAAAAATTAAATAAAATATATAAAATCAAATAACATACAATTACCAAATGTTCGCCCTTTTCGTATCGACAAATATCAATCAAATAGAGTTTAGCGAAAACTGGATATTGAAAAACTTAAATTTCGCCAAGCCCCAGTTTATGATGTGGAGAAAGCCTAATTAGACATTGAGAAAACAATAGTTTTAAATGAGTTTAAATATACGATGCAGATTAAAAATTCCAATTGTTAAATTTAATTTAGATTTCGAGAAAGCAAATCCAAATCAGTTGACGGAACAACCCTCTTAACCAAATTGGTTTGCTTTAGATTTAGTAAACAGCTGTTCAAAAGTAAGCAAGGGCGGGAAATGGAAAAAGGGCGAAAAAGGTGTTTAAGCTATTTTTCTAAGCCTCTCAATAATGTGTTAGCTGCAATTTAAATATTTGCAGCACCTTTTCTTACCCCATCTTCCTTGACTCCATTTTATGCATTTTTTAATTTTTGCAAATAGTTGGTTCATCAACGCAGTAACTCTCTCCCCTATAAGTTCTTGGTAAAAGTTTTAAGGCTGTTGCGCAGGCCTCAGATATCACTGATCATTGTAGCTTGTGCGATTGTTGCCGCAAAGGCACTTGGAATGCGGAATTAACCTATTCAAATTGTTAAGCCCAAACGGTTGAGTAACTAAATATGCTAGTCAGGATACACACTACAACGCAATCAATAACAACGGCAAACGCAACTTGAAACTAACGATTATTACCACATAGAGCATAACTTCAAGAAGACCTGTACGTGTACTAAATTGAAGAGCTCAATAAAAATTCAAGAGATGGGTACAGCTGCACAGATTGTGTAAGTCTAATCCTGCCTGCGGCCCGCTACCAGTATGACGGAATGACGGACTGTCAGACTCACTAAGTGCGCAGTAGCAACCATGAAGCGGAAATTTTGGGTGACTGGTAAACAGGCCAAAGAGATTCGCGAATGATCCATACACCAAAGCCTTCATGCATTTGCACTCAAAAGGCGGCTGCGATTTGACTCAAAGCTTCGTCTCAAAGACGGCTGCCTTTGGCTTTGACTCACTTTCGTTTTTTAATTTTTGAGTGCAACGTCACAGTCAAGGCGTTAAGCGAGTGACGCCAACAGCAGCGGCCGCAACAGCTGCTGGCGTCTGCTGCTCAGCCGCTTAGCGTCTAGTGGTGCTGCTTACTGCTCGCTGCTGGCGTCGCAGTCACTTGTTCGGTTCGCCGCTTTGTTCGAGCTTTAGTCGCTAGTGTATGATAAAATCACGTTAGTAATCAATTGCAAGCCCACCAGCCAAGACCGCATAACCAGCGCCAGTTGCAGAAAGGTCCACATAGCCAAAAAAGTTTTAAAACGTATAAATAAAAACATAACCAAAATAAAGTATTTAAACAACAAAAACAAAGCTTCAACGTATTCGTCTTACCCGTCGTTATTACCCGTCGCCGTCGCACCAAACGTGAGGATATACACTAGGCACATATACAATACATAACACTGCTTATAGTCGAAAATTCCACTACGGTTTTTTGAGTTAGGTAAAACCAAAAACACTACAGCTAATGCAAATGCAAGTGCAACTACAACAATAACAGCCGACAAGCCGACATAAAAGTTGCAACTAGCGCAAATTCCTCAAGTTTCTTACTGTAAATCAACCCCAATATATGTAAGCATAACTAAAACAAAATACGCTAAATAACAAAAACACAAAAAAACACCTCTAAAATAACCAATGAAACGTTGTAAACTTATGACGAAATTTTAAGCTGAATGTTTTTTTTTTATATTAAAATATTTTTAAATTTTTTGTTTACACTTTTTTTTCTGTGCCGTGCATATTTTTTGGTGAAAATTGAAACAAAATTAACGCGTGTGTTGAATTGTTTTTGTTTTGTGTGCTTAAGTATTAACGACAGACACGCTACCTAAATCAATCTAGCCATGTCCATTATTGCCTATACGGCCGCACTTTTCAATCTTATCAATAAATATACAAAGCAAAAATCTAAGAATTACATGTTAAGAAGAGAATAAGAAAGTTTCACAGCAACCGTTGGTTGAGGAACACAGCGTGCAACCGATATTTACGATCGGATAATCTCTGTGTTTAAGATTAGCCTTAGATCGAAATATTTTAAAAGTATTAGGCAAAGTTAATTATCATATCTTTCGTTTTATAGTTTAGTTGTTTGTTTGTATATTACATTAAACAGTAACTAAGAGAATTTTCTGGATACGTTTTTAATAGTAAATTTCATTAATATGTTGCCAGTATTAGCAATTTACTTTTATAGTTTAATTGTCTTAGTATAGTTCAACATAAAATTATTTAATTATTCAAAAAAAAAATAACACCATAGCACTATCGCATCATTAAACAATGGGCTTGATCAAAGCAAAGCTGCTGCCTTAATTGCACTTCGTTTTGTATAAGTTAGTACTAGAGATCCACTAAATGACAATTTTAGATGTGTACGTAAACAATGACAGGAAGCAAGTGCTTCAGTATTAATTGGAGACTTCAGATCGCGCCAAATTCATACTTACCATGGCAAAAGTTTGCAGCGTCATTTGCGCTCCGTGTTATTTGAGCCACTCCTCTATTGCACAATCACCTTCAGGCATAACGCTACTGAGAATTCATATCTGATTTCTTTTTTACACTATACGCCTTGAAAATGGGTAAAAAGAGTTATAATAGTTTTGAGCAAATATGTATAGCAGGCGGAGGGAAGTATCTGCGACGCACGACGAGATAGGCTGATTTAGCCATGTCAATTTGTACAAGCTAGGGATCTAGGAAACTATATCTTAAATAGAGACTTTAAATTTTAATGAGTATTTCTCATATATCGTACGAAGTCCAAAATTTTTTTGTTTGCTAGATCGATAAATATGGATTTTAAGCATCTTAGCAAATCGGGGAGATTGAAAGCGCAAGATACTTGAAATGTTGTTTGCAGGTTCTATCGCTTACACAGTAAAGAAGATTTCTTTAGAATCGGATTGTTAACAGCAAGTGTATGCAGAAATGCTTCTTTTAGACTGCTTCTACGTAAGCTGCGCAGCTAGCGGTGTTCGTCTTTGTTTATGTATTTGTAGAGTGAAGGTTAAACAAAAGTTACAGTAGCTCTGAGCTGAGCACATGGTGATTCCCGTTAGGGTACATTCGACTAGAACACTCTTACTTAATTTTTTTGGATACTCTTTTTTGGAATACATTATTAGATGTGTTTTCAGTGCCTGCCAATCATTAAATATTATGCTGGTCTTTTAAAACTAATGCGTATACAGTTAATACACAATGCCATCTGATTTTATAGGTCTTTAGTAATCATAGTAATAAGCTGCGTGTATTTATTTATATACTAGTAATGGCTAAATGCAAGATCTATATTTTTAATAGGTTCGTAATTACCAAAAGTAACTACTACAGACAAGGTAAAAAGTAAAAGCAAGCACATCCAAATCTGCTACCACTGCCAGATGACATAACTATACAACCCAGACGTCAACCAGGCTTCGTTGTCTGTTATTGCCGGTTTCTGACAGCTCTCACAGTTAACAATTCACACTGTCCAGTTGCTGATGACAATCTTCACTCTCCCTTTCTACACCGCCCAGTTATTTCGGCGTTGGCTTCGCTACCTCTCGGGCTCTCTGTCTCTGTCTCTTGCCTCTTTTTTTTTTTTTGTTCGTTTTCATTTGGGTTTTTGGCGCTACGCCTTACTTAATAGTCGCTGACCGTTGGCCGTCATTGCATGTTACCATGCACAGCTAATAATAAACTAATAAAAGTGTCTTCTTATATACATAGTATATCGTATATCGTAAAGCGCAGTCCCCGGTAGATGAGTTGTCTTAGTGACCCAGTCATATAGGCAACTGAACAACGAGGATCCGGGTTCGAATTCCGGTCCAATGTACGGATGTAACATTATGTTAGTCGAAGGCCATAGTGAACATTGCTATTTGAAAACTTAGGTTTATAGTTGCTTTTAGTGACCTGTTTAAGTATTAAGCTAAGGTTGTACGTTCGCTGGCTTAAAGACATGTGTATGCAAGTTGTTTTTTATCACAATGGTTTCACGATTTTTTTAAACAAGTTAATTGCTATAATAGCTACCCTGATCTCAATGTCACCTTCTTTTTATCTGACCGACAGCAGTTAGAGTCCATTATTTTATTTATATTTGAAATGTATATTTCTATCGTATTTTGGTCAATCAATTTCAATGTACATTTTTAAGTATAATATATTTTTTGGTTTAGATATGTACATGGCTATAATTATCACATAGCCACTATTATGAGTTAGCAAGGGCAATCTTCATAGCGTATATACATATTATCATCGTAAATTTAAGCTAAAGTTTTCGGGATAGACACTGTTGTTTTGCCTCATTTCGCACAGTTTCAATCTGTATACTTCCCTTTCGCCACCGTCTATTCAAAACTTAAGCTTTTCCATTTTGTTGATTTCCAGCTAATTTCCTAAAACTCAGCTTAAAAGCTTACACGCTCACACAAATATCCATACACACACACGCACACTCGCTTAACGCTGTCGACGTCGCTGTCGCTGTCGATGCCTCTGCTGACGTCTGCGCTGTCTAAATAAAATTACATAATTCTTATTGCAGCGTTTTGTATATTGTTGTTGCTTTGGCTGTTGTGATTTATAAATTGCTTTAACCGTTTTTGTTGTTTCTCTGTTGCTATAGCTGTTTTAGTTGTTGTGCACACTTTCCACATATAACGCGCATTACTCATACGACATGTTGCCTAAGAAAGGTTCAATATTCAAACTTGACACACACGATAAAGAGATTCCTAATCGAGCTACAAAACAACATGGGCCGGGCAAATTCAAATATCCACTTTGTATACACAATTAAAATTACAACAATCAGTGCCAAATGGGCGGATCTGCTAACCTTGGCCCGACCCTCAAATACCAAGCAAAAACTGAAACACTAATATTACTCTAAGAAACAACTGAGGATTTCGATAATGTCCGACTAGTTTATACTCTATAATCATCGCCGCTTATACTCCAATCTTTACGCAGCTTTCAGGGCTTAAATACATACTCAGGCGCTAGAATATACCTATAAAAATGAGTGTATTCAAATTTTGGATAATAGGGCTGGAACTCTAAAAGTAAAATTTTGTGGATTTATGTAGACCAATTAAAAATTTTAATAACTAAATTTGTGCCTCTTGCTCTTATTTTTACTGAGAAATGCACAAACAATCTTGCCTCAAAATAAGAATTTGTCAATATTATGAGAGATACCGAAAAAAGTAAACTCATTCTAGGTACTTATTATAGACGATATTCCATATTTTGAAACTCCACTTTCTAGCTCTTTTAGTTTCCAATATATCAGATAGGTAAATGGAAATCGTTAGATACACTACGTTTGTCGTTTTAATCGAGAATGTTTACAGTTTTATATTGTTGTATCCTTTTTTAATGGCTTAATGCGTGAAATTGCGTAAATCTGTGAAAGCGTGCTGACGGCAACATATTGTATTTTTTATTCGATCGGTATAAAACTATTTAAAAAAGTTTTATTTAAATTTGTTTAAATTTCCCACAAACGACAATAAAAGAAATAAACATTCCGGGCCGGGAAACGCCGAGCAACAACAGCTTGTTTAATATTTAATGAGTGTGCCCATGTATGCATTTCTATCTTGTAGGTTCTCCAATGCACTACACTCTTAACAACAAAATGTGGCAGCCGAACACACAGCACTTCCTGACGCTGATCCTCTGCAGCACCCTTTGCGTCATCAGCGCGAGCCCTCTTCCACATCCCGCTGGTAATCAGGAATTAGATGTGCTTCAAATACCTTTGACTAACGGAAAGGTAAGTCGAGACCAAATCGTTAAAATCAACGCGTTTCCACCCTTAGTTTCTAAGGCAGCTGTCCGAGCCGCACAGCACTGCCTGCGTAAAAATTAATGACTTATGCAAAGTTTTATGCCAATAGCTATATAACGGCGGGAATAGACGTTACTGACCAAAAATGTATATACTCTATGGGCTCAGGAAAGTGAAAAGTAGGAGATATACTGTAGCCAGATCCAAATCGCCCAAAACTACATTCGTACTTTCAAGAATTTTACATACAATTATTCCGTAAATGTTGCGCTTAAGGCAGCGGCTATACTCCTCCTTTTCTCAGGCTCTTGAATGTCGTATTTAAATCTACATACATATGTCACAAGTATTAGGCTGAAACCTTGCATTTTGGGTTCATAATAAGGGGTTCCTAATAAGATGCGAAAGACGAAAACATTCTAGGACCCCCAAAACAAGCCTCTGCCATTTAAAATAACAATGCTTATTGTCCAATCTTTATCAATTTTTTACTTGGCATGGCATAACATGGCATCCAAATGTGTGCTAATATCACTAACCAAATAGCATATAGACTGGACAACCAGTACTAATGACGGGGACAAACGTTTTCAGTGCGGCTGGTCCAAAGTCGCCTTCGTTTTTGTTCGGGTTCGAGACATGCCCGCATGCTCTCACAGCAAGACAGTAAGAAATACATATGACCTGTGTCGTAGAACGGCATCGCTGTCTTCTTATTCGCTTACTCTACAGGAAACTGCTTTGGTTTACTCTCATCCATATGATTTGTCAGATAGAACGGCATCGCTGTTTTTTATCTCGCTCCCACTACAGGAAACTGCTTTGGCTTACTCTCAGTGATCTATCAATTTGTCTATGTAGCGTTTAAATGTTTGTGAGTGTATGTGTCCGCAAAAGCGAAAATGCCCACAAATTAAACTTTTCTCAAAAGTCGGTGGCATTTCTTCCCTTTTGAGGGGACGAGTAATATATACGAAAGGGTTTGCCACGTCGATGCAAAATTCTTTCATTTTAGCTCGTTATTGTTGGAAAGGGTACCTAAGCGGTGGCATGTGTGCATTTAATGCATTCATAAATTCAAACGCGTGCCAATAATGATAGTCCAAAAGTCCAAAAACTTTTAAATGCCACCGACTTTTGAGAAAAGTTTAATTTGTGGGCATTTTTGCTTGTGCGGACACATACACTCACAAGCATTTAAACGCTACATAGACAAATTGAAAGATCACTGAGAGTAAGCCAAAGCAGATTTCCTGTAATGGGAGCGAGATAAAAAACAGCGATGCCGTCTATCGCACAAATCATATGGATGAGAGTAGACCAAAGCAGTTTCCTGTAGAGTGAGCGAATGAAAAGACAGCGATGCAGTTCTACGACACAGGTCATATGGATGAGAGTAAGCCAAAGCAGTTTCCTGTAGAGTGAGCGAATAAGAAGACAGCGATGCCGTTCTACGACACAGGCCATATGTATTTCTTACTCTCTTGCCGTGAGAGCATGCGGGCATGTCTCGAACCCGAACAAAACGAACTGAAAACGCTTGTCCCCGTCATTAGTACTGGTTGTCCAGTCTATATGCTATTTGTTTAGTGCTACTACCAAAGCCCAAGGTTATGTCTGTAATAATTAGTTGTTTTTACAATTTTGGGGCGATATATAAAAAAAAAAAATTATTTTGTCTGTACTATTTGACAACCCATATACCAAGAGCTAGCTTTATAATCTTCGAGATTTGCTTAAAAACCGTACCTAAATCGATATTTATCGATAATATAGAAGTATAAAATATCGAAAAAACACAGTGCAACAATTTTGTGTTTGTACACAAATGTACATAAATAATTACAAATTTATGTTACTGAAATAGGGAAATCAGGCACTTTCGATTTGCAAAAACTTCCTGATTCCACAATTTCTTTTAGAACAGTTCCTCGCATACCTCCCACTTTGGTTCTAGACGTAGGGCAAGGGTATTTGAAGGGATCTTGTTAATTTATATGCGTGTGCAAGCTGTTGCATTATGCATACGTTGAACATACCGAATTGCTCACTACAAAAGCTTGTTCTACCCTTTTGTAAACTTTCTTAGCAGATCTACACTCGCATGAGAAGGCGAGTAATTTAGGGAGTTGGTTGCTCAACGAGTTTGTCGAGCTGCCAACAAAATTTCCTTTTACTTTTTCGGTAACAGCTGGAACTGTAGAAAATTCAGGTCTTGGGGTCTGTATGCCGATAAAGTCAAAAACCTGTGTGGCCAGTTTGGCGCAGTGGACAAAACCAATTGCAAGGAAGTTGGCACACTAGTCACCAGTTTCCATGGCACACTCTAGACCAGGCATGTTGGCCTAGCTTGGTTATTGGCCCAATCCACACAAGCCCCTCTTGAAACGAATTTAATTCCATGCGGCTAGCTACGTGTCTGCCTATGTGTCTAAATGTCCATGTGCAATCTCTTTATTATTTAAAACCTCCCAAAAAAAATAAAGAATTACGAGTTTTTTTTATAGATTATTGTTGTTTCCATATAAATTAAACTATTTAATTGTACCTCAAATTCGCTTTAAAAAGCTGAACAGCGAAAAAACGCCAATTAACTGCCAGCGGTTAATTTTTGCATCTATCGAAGCCAACTGCACTTTGTTTCATAGTAAGCTTAGTAATTAACACCTGGGTCACAGTATAATTGCTTGTTATGTGCTAATTTGTTACCCAAAATTACCAAAGCAATCATCGAAATATGCTAACCCCTGTCAGAGAAATCAAAAACCAGCAAATCAAAGCTCTAACTCCGCAGCAATATTCTTTATACTTTGTGCAGAAGCAAAAGTGGTATATTTTTCAATTTAAATTTTTTTTTGCAAATTATATTTAAGTCTACCGTGTGACTATGTGATACACACACACATAAACGCATCTTCTTGCTTCTTCTTTCCTTAAAGCGTTCTATTTCAAGTCTTTAGCCCTTATAGTTTCTCAAATCAGCACGTTCTTTAAGGCAGACAGACAGACATGGCCAGATCGACCATAATCTGAGTATATAAGAGCTAGATAGGTCAATTTTTGCTTCTTGTATAAGATACAAATATTATGTATATATCACTTTAAAAATACCTCTCTCCCTTCTGACAAAAGTTGAAGGATTCCGAAACAAAACCATTTTGCCCTTTTTATCCATTTTCAATCGTCGAAGGTAGCGCGTACACACAATTGGGTGCCATATTTGGGCCCTGAAATTTTATTAAGGACTAGCGGGGGATAGCAAAAAGCTTTGAAAATGATTTTTAAAATGATCGGATGGTCAACAAACTAATTTCAGACGAACGATTTCCGCCAATTTACCACTGTTGCGGGGAGAATTTCCCAAATCACTGAAACAAGTATACATTAAGTTCTTATGTAGAGCTTCGAAAATAATTTTGAAGCAAATCAGACACGACTTACAACTTCGCCCAAAAAATCGTTGAATCGCATTTCAACCAAAGAAGTTTGGATTCTGCGAAAAGTTAAAAATACGTCTTAAATTTTTTTTCATATACATAGATCTTAAGAAATGAATTTTAGCGCGCAACGTCACCCACCAAATTTTTGATCCCTATTTCCACCAAGCAGGAATACATTTTTAGAAAAGTCTGAAACACCCGTCAAATGAATTCGAACAAAGATCTTTGAAAATGAGTTTAAGGCCGATCGGATGGTAAACAAAAATGTTGCATTCAAACGTTTTTCGCTATTTTCCCACACGCGGGTGGAATTTCCCAAATTTCCCGAAACCGCGTCTTAACGTGAACATACATCACATAAAGTAACTACAGTGAAATTTTCAGCTTCCTAGCTCTTACGGTTTGGGCTGTGCGTTGATCACCAATCAGTCAGTCAGGACAAACAGTTTAATACATATATAGAAAGCATATATAGAAGCACCAAAGACATATTCATATGTATTAAAGTCTGCAGCTCTTATAATGTGTGGCTAGGTGAAGAAGTTCATTTTCTGAGTGAGTTTTTTCGGTGTGCACTCTTGCGCGTGTTAACATATACAAGTGTGTGTGTGTTTTGTATCTATAAACTATTCAAATACTTGGTGCTGGGTGCGGGGTATCTGCTAGTCGGGCTGTTCTGGCTAGATCACACTGACTTCTTTTACCTTCTTTTAATTTCTCCGACTATAAAATGATATTACAACAACAGCTACAACGGAAATTGAAGCACTGTGGCTTTTAAACGGCAACAGCAGAACTAGCAGCTGCAGCAACACGAGCCCAGACAATCACACAATTTCCTATGTGGGATTGCCCCCAGCTGACACAGACGCGTCTAGTTTCTCAGCAACTGCTCATGGTTGCTACAGCTGCCTTATATAATCTCTCAGTTGCTAGCTCACAAACAAATACACATCACACAATACTCGTTGTGCACGGCGGTGGCAACGGCAATTGCAATTTGTTGTTACCGTTGTAACATGTCGGCAGTACGCAGTAGCAACTAGCAACTAGCACGCAACTATTACTATTGTTGCTGATGCTGCTATTGTTATGGCAGACAATTTGTTGGTAGCTGCATTTTCAAGTGGCAAACGAGACGCGCTTGCTAGTCAGTCATTAAGTCAAAACTATTTGCAGTTGTTGTTGTCGAGAGTACAAAAAATAAAAACAAGAGTGCTCCAGTAGGTGTGCCCGACTAGGAGATACCTAGGAGCCAATGCTTAATTGACAAAACGGTTATTCCCTGATTACATGTGCACAAGCACGCACACCGCTTCACACTCAGTTTACGTTCCAATATTAGAAATTCATTCCTGACCACATTGGTGTTTTTGTTGTCCGATCATTATGAAAAAAAAAATTGCATCCGAATGCATATATGTACATATCAAAACTCAAGACTATTTCTCCACAAATATTAGAGACGATCGGACCATATTTAAAACAGCGCATCAAAATAGAGTACGACCTCGCTCAACGCAACCCTCGTTACACGCAACTCCT